TATGTCACTGTCTGTATTCCCTTCCCCACAAGTTGTAAGCCGCCCTGAGTCCCCTCAGGGAAAAGGGCGGCCTATAAATAAACTTACAATTACAAAATTACAATTCTAGTCCAACCCTCTGCTCAGGCAGGAAACCTTATATCATTTCAGACAAATGTCCAGTCTGTTCTTAAAAACTTTCAGTGTTCGAGAATTCACAACTTCTGGAGAAAAGTTATTCCACTGGTTAATTGTTTTAACTTTCAGGAAATTTCTCCTCAATACTAAGTTGCTTCTCTCTTAATTAGTTTCCACTCATTGCTTCTTATCCTGCCTCCAAGTGCTTTGGAGAATAGCTTGACTCCAACCTCCCCTTTGTTGGGAAGGTTGTTGAGAAGGTGGTGACCTTTCAACTCTGATGGTCCTTGGATGAAGCAGATTATCTTGAACCCTTCCAGTCGGGTTTCAGGCCTGGTTACTCCACTGAAACTGCTTTGGTTGTGTTGACTGATGATCTCTGGCGGACCAGGGATAGAGGATATTCCTCTATCCTGGTGCTTCTTGACCTCTCAGCGGCCTTCAATACCATCGACCATGGTATCCTTCTGCAATGACTGGGGGAGGTGGGAGTTGGAGGCACCGTTTTACAGTGGTTCTCCTCTTACCTCTCAGGTCGCAGTCGGTGTTGGTTGGAGGACAGAGATCGACCCCTAGGCCCCTTAGATATGGGGTGCCGCAGGGCTCGGTCCTCTCCCCCCTCCTTTTTAACATCTACATGAAGCCTCTGGGTGAGATCATTCGCCGGCACGGGATTAAATACCACTAATATGCGGATGATACTCAACTGCATCTGTCCACCCCGTGCCAACTCAGCGAAGCAGTGGAAGTGATGTGCCAGTGCCTGGAGGCTGTTAGGGTCTGAATGAGAGTGAACAAGCTGGCACTCAATCCAGACAAGACCGAGTGGCTATTGATGTTTTCTCCCAAGGATAGTCCAGATTTTTCATCTATTAGCCTGGGGGTGTGTGAAAGTCTACACCCCTCAGAGAGGGCCCACAACTTGGGTGTCCTCCTGGATCTGCAGCTGACATTAGAACACCATTTGTCAGCTGTGACCAGGGGGGCTTTTGCCCAGGTTCGCCTGGTGCACCAGTTGCGGCCCTATCCAGACCAGAAGGCACTTCGAATGGTCACTCATGCCCTTGTCACCTCAAGACTTGATTACTGCAATGCACTCTACATGGGGCTGCCCTTGAAGAGTGTTCGGAGACTACAGTTGTTCCAGAATGCAGCTGCATGAGTGATATTGGGTGTACCTTGGTACACCCATNCTGCCTTGTGTTCCCATGTCTGTTGGAGTCTGGGTTGCTGCCAACGTCTTGCCAGTGAGTCATGTCTGGGCTTTCAGCCAACAGGATTATAATTGATGTGAATAAAGACTGGCAAACAGCTATGCCTGTGTCTGTGTTCATTACCAGATGGAGGGGGGGCAGAACAGTTTGTGTCCTGCCCCAAACAAACAAAGCTTCATTAAGCCACGATGGAGCAATTATGTGCTGAGAACGCCCAGATGGCACAGTAGTTGGCTCTGATGGCTGGCCAGATAGTTTAACTGCAAGGGCCTGCTATTTCCCCCCAGCCTTGGAGGAAATGTCCGGTAGCTGTGCCGGACAAGTTTGACAGCACTCAAGCCATGTTTCCAGCTTTCTTGGGACAATGCCAGCTGTTTATCAACCTGAGAGCGGAGGACTTTCCCACCGACCGGGCTAAGGTGGGATTTATTATCAGCTTGCTCTCAGGCACCACAGCTCATTGGGTTACTCCTCTGTTGTCCTAGGCTAGCCCTTTGCTGGACGATTTCAGGGGGTTTTGTGATCACCTCAGACTCATGTATGAGGACCCCATTAAGGAGGAAACAGCCACCAGACTGCTCAAGGCGCTGCAGCAGGGCCGGGGTTCCTTGCAGGATTGCCAATGGCAATCATGTGGCCACAGGACATTGCAACCATCATAAATATGAGATATGAGATCCAGTCATAAATCACTTTTCTCAGCAATATTATAACTTCAAATAATTGTTAAAGAAGTGGTTATAAATCAAGGACTACCTATACTCAAAAAGAATTGTGAACTGTGGGCATCCTGAACTGTAAGCCAAGCAAACTCCAATAATCACAATCAAGTAGACATAGTCCTCAACATGACCATAATTAACCTCAAAATTTATGGTGGTAAGGGAAAACTTTTGCCTTTCATTTTATTTGTTAAGTGGATCACTGCAGTTGTTCAATTAGTAACAACATTGTTAAGTGAGTCTGGCTTTCTCTTTGAATTTGTTTATCAAAAGATGATCATATGATCCTGGGACACTGAAGATGTCATAAACATGAACCAATTGTCAAGCATCCAAATGCAAATCACATGACCATGGGGATGCTGCAACAGTCATAAGTGTAAAAAATGGTCATAAGTCACTGTTTCAGTGCCTTTGTAACTTTGAATGACCACTAAAGGAACAGTTATAAGTCAAGGACTACCTCTATATGGAACAGTGACTGCTCTCCCACATAATTACTTCTTTTTCTTCTCCTGCTCTGTGTTAAGAACTGATGCCAATCCCCAAACAAGGATAGGATATTATCAAGATGAGACATTTATCTTCTTGCTCATTCAAGTTGTGGTTGTCCTATCCTTCCAGATTAAACATGGAGCTGTTACAGGGCATTAATATTAGATCAGAGATTATCATTGCAGGAATCTCTGGCCTGCAATATGAGCAATATTGTGGAAACTAAGGCTTCTGAACACCTATGTCAAGATATGATGGTATTTCAATTCAACCTTAGGTAGAAATTGACTAGCGGAGAGAGAGAACAAATCTGGTGGGAGCAGCCCCTGGGTTCATCTGTCATCTCCACAACTATAGACTGAAGTACCTTTTCAGAATGCAATGTTCCCAACTTACAACTCTGCAGGCATTCCAGGAATATATTAATGTTCCATTTATCTTCTTCAATATGGAAGAATTATCCCCATTGTTAATTAATGTAGCAGAATTATTAGAAAGATATATTTTATCCAGCTTATTAGCAAACTTTTTTTGGCCATGATTTAGTTTACAAATCTTAATTTATACCTTTCCCCCACAACTAATAAAAATGAGTTGTCTTATTTATTAATATCAGAATAAAAACTAAAATATCTACAAATAGACTAATATTATAGGAAGCTTTATCAATCATGCTTAACATGGAATCTGAACCAACTCAATTTAAAATTCTTATATTTTTGTTTTTCTAAATGTTATTGTTTTTGAATAAATCTTTACTTTTATACTTTTTAATAAAGATCAATATTTTGTTCCTGAAATATTTCTCTCTCAAGAATATTTCAAATTGTTGTATCAGAATTAAATGCTCAAAGTCTTTGTAAAAAAAGGCTGTAATATTATTTTAGTGTTAAATGATACACAAGTTATTTTGGCTATCGTCCCAGTTATGCAAGTGAAAAAAATCAGAACTTACTTGGTTGAAACTGTTATGCCAGGTGATGATTTCATCATGAATAGTAAATTTTTCTTCTTTCACCCAAGGATCCAGCTTCCCCACTTTCACTCGATGGA